TTAAAGCAAACGTGTCTTCCCGTTTGTCCCACTTATGGCCAAGCAAATCTGTATAACGTTGACCACTGGTTTGATCAATGTACTGGCTTTTTAAATGCCATGCTTTGATCTGGAACTTACCTTTTGCGAGCACTTTGTCAATTGCAGTTGTGACTTGCTTGGCCTCCGCAGTGGTGGGCCCTGGATCCACCAATGTCGTCAACGTACGTTCGTTCTTGAACTTCCTTTGCTGCTTCAGGGAAATCATCATGTGAAGTCTTGGCCAGGATATTTATTGCATTCGAATCAATGTGAGGGGCTGGCTTGTTGCCGAAATTTAGTCTGAGCCACTGGTGCACAGTGGGAAGATCATGCTGATTCTTTCTCCTCAGGAACCTATGGAAGACCTGGTCATCCGGGTGTACCAATACTTGGTTGAACATCTTCGAATATCTCCAGCATATGCAACTTCATCCCATCGCCATGCTATTAGAACATTGGGTAGACTGTTGATATAATTCAGCCCCTTCTCAAGATGATCATTCAGGGAGAGACCATGGTATCCTTTGCAAGACGAATCAAACACGAGCCTGACTTGTCTGCTCTTTTCTGGAGTGAACACTGCTTGGAGGCGAAGGTACCACTCTGGCTGATCGTGATCAATGTTGTCACTTGCTACCTTGATCACAAAGCCTTGATCCACAAGTTTCTGAACCTCTTGATCCACAATTTCAAAGCAGTCTTTATTCTTAAACAACTTCTCCGCAGAATACATTCTCCTTAGAGCAATGCCATAGTTGCTTTGTTTTGGAGGTCCAGATTCTTTCCATGGCATTTTTACTTGCACCCTGCCGTTCTTCTAAGAGATGTTTGTGATTTGTAACTTGGATTTTCAAGGGGTGCTGGGGAGTGCCCTCTATTCTCCCCCTGTCATTAACACCTTAAAAATGTGTTGAGAATGATAGTTACCATTTTAACCTGTAGAACCTACCTTAAGTGTGTATGAGATGGTTTAAACTGGTTTTTTTGTTTAATTTTCTCTTCAAACCAGCTTGACTATTATTTTTCCTCGTTTTAAAATCATTATCATGAGCTGAAACAGAATAATTTAAATCTGAACCTGGTCTGAAATCATGACTAGAAACCAAAATTAAATTCTAACCACAACATGTGTAATACTCATATTCATATATATTATGTGGAGAAACTGAATCAGTGTTTTAGGTTGGGATTTATGAACACAGTTCTCTTACAACAAATTACTTACTAGAGTCAAATACAAGAATAATGAACACACAGCCATACTTGTAAAATATAAGGACACAAAATTTGTTACCTTTGAGCGCAACTTGGCTCTAAGCTCATCAGACAAACTTTCAGATGTTCCTTTGAGTTTGTTTACCTAAGAAATAAGAAAGAATGCACAACTCACCAAAAAAT